TTAATCGGAAAACAGGGAACAGAGTTTGTTTTGTTTTTTTTAAACTGGATCTGGATCGGCATTTTCTCACGCCGGCCGATAACCTTCTTTTTTTTTTTTTTTATACAAATATCTGTTTTTTTCCCGTGGGATACAGATGCTAATGCTTAAGGGTGTGCTGGAAAACGACCAAATATTAGGGAACAGCATTGCAAAGTGGAATGGATTATTTTAATTGGAAAACACGGAACAGAGTTTGTTTTGTTTTTTAAACTGGATCTGGATTTTCTCACACCGGCCGATACGTTTCTTGTTTTGTTTTTTTTACAAATATCTGTGTTTTTTTCTTGTGTTTTACAGATGCTAATGCTTAAGGGTGTGCTGGAAAATGACCAGATATTAGGGAACAGCATTGCAAAGTGGAATGAATTATTTTAATCGGAAAACAGGGAACAGAGTTTGTTTTGTTTTTTAAACTGGATCTGGAGTCTGGATCTGCATTTTCTCACACTGGCCGATACGTGTACAGTAATCCCTCGTTTATCGCGGGGGTTACGTTCCGAAAATGACCCGCGATAAGTGAAATCCGCGAAATAGAAAACTTTTTTTTTTTTTTTTACAATTAGCAACTATTACATGTATACAAATACAGTGTCGCTCTTTTTTCTTCTTTGCAAAAAGATCCTTGTACACCGACATGCCACCATCGATTACGTTGGAGAACTGTAATGAACGGCTCATCAAAGGGTCCCATTCCTCAGCTACTCGCTTAAGTTCAGTGGCCATTCGCACCATGGTTGCTAAGCGACCAAGCGTTAGTCCTATGTTTTGATACAAGAAGCGGGAGTGAGTTTTTAGCGAATCAGAATGCAGAGCAAAATGCACCCAAAAAAAAAAATGCATTATGAAAATCCGCGAAATAGCGAATCCGCGATAAGTGAACCGCGAAGTGGCGAGGGATCACTGTATATATTTTTTTTTACTAATATCTGCGTTTTTCCCTATCCAGGTATCTGGTTGGGGACCAGTCTTGCACCCACCTGCTCGTCTGACTGAGGAATGGCGTTGAGAATGGCGACGGGCGCGTGGTACCCGGGCTTCTTCTGCCCCAGCAGGCTGGTGGACGTGTCGTCTTCATCGTCCTGAGGAGAGAAAGAGAGACCAGCTCGAGTTTAGTCAGACTGACCCACTAACCCCCCCCACCGGCAGACTAGGGGTGGGACGGTTCACAAAATCCACGGTTCGGTTCGATTCACGGTTTCGTGGTCACGGTTTCCGGTTCGGTATATGTTGATTGTTAGGAAAATCTATTATGTCTTGTATAGTCAGGTTAAAACTGAAAGAAAAAAGCAGTCTGACATTTGATACATTATTGTGACAGTCTGAGGTTAAAAGTAGGTGAGATTCTGGCATTGCCAGAGAGGAAACAGTGATAATTCCAGCATGTGCTTCCCTCTAAATGCAAAGTGGTCCATACAGCAAACCTAAAAAAACTGCTGTTGGCCACAACCTCCTTCTTTCATACTTTGGTTGAGGGATATTGTTCATTTTCTTAAACTTGAAAAAATGAGAATGTCACTACGGGCAGCCATTACGACGATTGGTTGGTCAAGTTAATTTTGATTCTGTCCCAGTCTAGTCCTTCGTGTATATATCCGTCTGCTCATCCTGTGTCCTTTTTCTCGTATTTTCCTTTTCTTATGGTTCCGTATTTGCTTTCCTGGGCACAAACTGTACTTTTTTTTTTAGGTGTAGCAGAATGCATCTCAATTTTTTATCCATTTCAAAACTTTTTTGTGTGCGTGTGTCCTTCTTCTTCTGACTTTTTCTTATTGCCTGGGAGTGATTGGAGGTCGTTTTGTTGTGTTTTTATAACTCAAGGGAATTGTATGGTTGGTTTTATATGCATCACATTGTAAATGTATGGCTATGCAATTCTTGTTAAAAACCAAACAAACAAAGTTTGAAAAAAAAAGAAAAAAAAACTGCTGTTGGTGCGTCTGATTTTTATTGGCTACGCTGCTTCTTCTCCTTCTTGTTTCCTACTGGTGGTTGGCTTTGGGCGCAGTAGCGCCCCCTTCTGGTCTGGAGTGTAAACGCTTCCCTCTGAGAAAAAGGAGCAGCATGAACCGAACAAACACACGCGAACCGAACCGAGACAGAACCCAACGGTTCAGACGGTTTTCAGAAAGCCTCCCATCCCTACGGCGGACTAAACTCACGTCCTCCTGCTCGTTGGCGGCGATGGAGGTGACGTATCCGGCGAAGCGGCTGTCGCTGCCGCCGTAGATCTCCTGGTCGTAGAAACCGGTGGAGTCCAGGCCCACCCCCTGCTCCCCCTCCTCCACCAGCGAGGCCTTCATCCCCTGGATCTCCAGGATCTGGGCCTCGATGTCTGGAACAAGGTAAACGGGTACAAAAAAAATAAAAATAAGAAACAAGAAAAAAATCCAGATTTACAATCATCTGCCTTTTTAACTCATTGACTGCCAGAGTTTTTTGAGCATTTTGACTGATTTTTCAAGAGCCACAGAATAGTTTGTGCTATGACTATGTAAACACCGAACACACCAAAAGAAAGAGTAAACTTAAGGGTAAACAAGCTTTAGCAGATCGTCCCCCAGCCACTCTCGTTGAAAAACATAAAAGACGTCTATAGAGGTCTTTGGTAGCCAATGAGTTAAAAATCAGTGGAAGGAGAAACCACTTATGAAGAGACCAGAGGAGCATTTCAGAGAACTTTATTATCACAATTTCCCTTAATTCATGGAACAATTGGAGGTGGTCCAATGCTTATTTGTTGGATAAATCCATGTTGGTGTCATGTGGATCCAGACTTTAGCTCTTGTATCCCAAAAGATTTCACCTCTTAGGTCAAACAGACAAAAATAGCTCAGAGATTGGACTGTTTAAGGAAAAACTGGGTAAATAGCTAATTTTTCTCCTTTTCTTGGAACGTCACCAACACAGACAATTTCCCCCTTTTTTTCAGTAGTGTTCAGTTTTAATTTTTAAATATTACACCTCAATTATGAGCGGAAAGGGTCAGAAATCATAATAGTTGAACTCACATAGTTGACCTATAAATGTGAAATGATCTATAAAGGACACAAAGGGATGTGGCTCTTGAAAGTTACAAGATTCTGTTAAGATTCATCTAAAAAATCGTCAGGGGAAAATATATTGGGCTCAAAAAGGAACCACAAACAACAAAGAGGTTAAATATGGATGTTTGTGACCCTCTGTGTTCAATTTAAGGATCAGAACTTTATTGAAAAGTAGACATAGATCAATAAATCTGCTGTAATTTAGTGTAACAGGTACTTTTTAAAAAAGATTAAAGTGGAATTAGTTCAGGTATCAGACATTTAGCTGCTCACAGACAACATGTTTAACGGAGCAGAATTAAGTTTTAATAGCAGAAAAATGCTGGTTGAACCTTTTACATGGCTTGACCCAGTTATGAAAACCCAGACATTATCTTTATTCCATTTGATTTATTTAACCTAAATCTGCAGCGACGTGAAAGGGACTCAAATACAATATTTTAATCTGATACATGTTGATCAGATCGAGGTTTAAAACCCCAATAGACAGACACAAAGCTTTTTGCGCTTTGTATAAAGAAAATTAAAACTGATCTCGGATTTAAATTAGGTTTTTAACTGAGTGAACGTATTCAAAAAGTGTTTCGCATTATAAAACAATGACGCAGAGCTCTTCCTCCTGATTATCTGGTCTGTGTTTAGCATGGTGCTGCTTAGCTTGTTACGTGAGGCTAGCTTCAAGCTAAATAACGGCCGAAAAACGTAAAACTGTGAGGAACTACCGGTACGAATACCGTCACATTAACTAAGCAGGACACGAACAACATATATGAGAAAGCATTTTTCGGTGAAGTTGCATCAATAGTTCATTATAAGTAGGGAAAATCTGCGGAAACGGACAAATGAGGCTAACCAGCTAACAAGCTAGCATCCAGCGCCATTATGCAAACCGTCCGCGTTGCGTTGTTAAGGACCCGCTCCTTTAAGCCGTTTTAACTCGATTTAGCAAGCGAATAAAGCCACCAACACGTGACCAGGAGCTGCATTTCAAGACAAAATACGACACACGAAATGCACGAAGAAAAACAGGTCGATT